TTAAAACAAGTTCAAACTTAGATTATAACACAATAATGGGTGTTTTAAATTACAAATTGGATTGTGTTTGTGATCTGAAGTGACTATAGGGCTATTAAATATAACTTTTGAAGTCATAGGCTGACCAAGACCTCATCCGAATATGGAAATGAATAACCCCACTGAGCAGAAGTAAAAGGAGAAAGAAAAGCAAAATTAAGATTGTTTTGTAATTATACCCATGGCTTCTAAGATCAGTTAGGTATAGAATTGTGAATATAGTATGTTCTCCAAAGTTTTAGTACTCTTTTTTCTTTGTTCTACAGGCCCATTTTCTTAACTGAAAAATAACAATTTGGATACAAAAGATTAAGAAGGACATTTTAAATATTTATATCCTCTCACCCAAAAGAATAATAAGATAGCCATCAAGTTTCTGCTTGATTACTTCCAGTAATAAGAAACTCACTACCTCATTCAATTGACTACTGAAAACCTATAAATGTTAGAAAGTGTGTTCTTATACCAAAACAGAATTTATATTCATGTGATTTCTATCCATTTGTCCAGGTTCCCATAGAGGATCACAGATCATGTTTAGTTGGAATTCTGTGGTCTTAAAATTTTCCCCCTCTCTTCCACATAATACTAAAGGATGGACAGTTATGTCTTCCTTTATTCACTATTTTCAGCCAAATGTTACTCTTTCCTTCACCTATCCCAGTGGTTCTCAACCTTCTGGCCCTTTAAATACAGTTCCTCATGTTGTGACCCAACTATAAAATTATTTTCGTTGCTACTTCATAATTGTAATGTTGCTACTGTTATGAATCATAAAGTAAATATCTGATATGCAGAATGGTCTTAGGCGACCCCTGTGAAAGGGCCTGCCCTGCCACCATCCACGCCTGCTATCTGCGACCCGGGGCGGTAGGCGTCCGTGTGTGACCCGACCCGGGGCAGCCGGGCGGTGCAGCAGCAATCGGCCAGCCCACCCAGCCTCCATCCAGGCATCCCGTGTGCGACCCAACCCAGGGCCTGGGGAGGCGGGGCAGGCACAGAAGGATCAAGCCTGCCATCTGCCACCTGGGGAGCGGGCCTAAGCCAGCAGGTGGTTATATCCTGAGGGGTCCCAGACTGTGAGAGGGCACAAGTGGGGCTGAGGGACACCCCCCCACACACACCCCTTCTCCCGCCAGTGCACAAATTTTTGTGCACCGGGCCTCTAGTTTATTATAAAAGGATGTCACTCAGGAACAGCTAGATGGAAGATGTGCATGGGGTCAAGTACAGGGAAAGGGCAGGGGCTTTCCTGCTCTCCCCAAGTCTTCTGCTCTTCCCAAATCTCCACGTGTTCACAAACTTGATAACTCTCCAAACCCCGTCCTCTGGGTTTTTACAAAGGTTTCATTACACAGCCAGAATTGATTAACCATTGGCCATTGGAGATTCAACTTCCAGGCCCTCTCCCCTTCCCAGTGGTGGGAGCAGGGGTGGGGGGTAGGACTGAATGTTCCTACCCTCTAATCATACAATTGGTTTCCTTAGCAACCAGCTCCTATCAGGTGCTTGCAAAAGTCACTTTATTAACTAACACAAGATCAGGTGTGGTTGAAAGAGGTTTGTTAGGAATATTAGGGTGCCTTTGTTGTTCTGATCACTTAAAAATTTCCAAGGGCTGCCCTGGCCAGTGGCTCAGTTGATTGGAGATCTTCCTGTACACCAAAAGGTTGTGGGTTCAATTCCCAACCAGGGCACACATCTAGGTTGCGGGTTTGGTCCCTCCCGGTTGGGGCATGTAGAAAAAAAGGCCAATTGATGTTTCCCTCTCACATTGAAGTTGTTTTCTCTCTCTCTCTCTCTCTCTCTCTCGGCATGTAGAAAAAAAA